GTGCTCACTGCTCCCCTGTGTTCTGCCGGTCCCTGTCCCTCCTCAGAGGAGGGCGGCCTGTTCTCGTGGCATAGAGACCTCCAGGTGGAAGTGGAGCCCTGGTCCTTGCAGGTCTCTGGGATGCACCAAGCTTAGGTTTGGGGAGAGACCGGCGGGATGGATGGGACCTCAAGGCCAGGCTGGCCACCCCCGTCCCTGGGGTGTTCGGGCCTGGCGGGGCCCTTGCTTAGTCCTACCTCTGGGGGGCTGAGCCCTCCTCCTCCATTTCTGCTGCTCACCTAGCTCCCCGTCTTGACTGAAAGCCTGAGAAATGTGTGTGAGTTGGGGTGGGGTCCCACCACGCAGGCTCTGCATGTGCTCTCAACTCCCCTCCTTCATGGGGCCCTGACTGGAAGCCAGGGCAGCTAGCCTGGTGCTGAGAGCGGCACTTGGGGCCGAGACTTCCAAGTGCGCATCCCGCAGCGTCCCCAGTGCCCCCGGGCACCAGGCAGGCCTCGGGTGGGGCTGCGTCAGCGTGAGAGCCGGCGCGCGTCCCAGCGCGCAGGGTCTTCTGCAGCCGTGCGTTATAAATCCCCTGCTTGGCGAATAGATCTCTTCATCCCTGGGGAGATTCACGAGCCGCGTGTGCTCCCCAGGCCGCCTGGCATTTGTCATTGTTCCAGAGACATAAACCACCCCGGCCTCTCCCTGCCCCGGGGCGCCTCACGCCTCACACCTCTGCTCAGAGCTCTGCGGAGGGCGCCGAGCCCAGGCGCTCCCCCAGCCTGCCAGCCTCCCGGCCCGGGTACCGCTCAGTGCCTCTCCCATCCTGTTAGCACACAGATGGCCGTGCCGCAGAGAAAACGAGTATTTCTCCAGAAGCAGATTAATAAACACCACCTAAGGAAGGAGCTGATAAAGACCGAGGAGCGGTGTGAGAAAACTCTGTGCTGTGCTGAGGGCTGGGCTGTTAGCCCAGCTGGCGCCCCGGCAGCGAACGAGGCCTCGAGGACGGCGAGCTGGCGCCCCCTGCTGGAGCCACGTGGCGGCGCGGCTGCGAGTCGCGGGAGCCCCGCTTCCTGCGCCCGCGGAGCAGCCGCCCGCCGCGGTCAGGTCACCTTTGTGGACCCACTCAAGAGGGGTGGGGAGCAGAGGTGAGTGCAGGGGGCTCAGTGTGTCCTCAAGGCTGGGGGGACACAAAAAACGGCTCCCCGGCAGGTGGGAGCCCTGACCCTGCCTGCCCGGCAGCCTCCTGGCCTCTCTGAAGTGGGCTCTTCATCCCTAGGGGAGGGGCGGCCCCACCTCCTGAGCGGTGATGTGGGTGTGGCGGGCCTGGCTGGAGCCTGGATGGGGGTGCGGCCCCTCCCGCAGCTCACACGCTTGTCACAGGGGATGCGTCCACCCTGTCAAAGCACCCTTACCCCGTCTGAGTCCAGATTGCCGAGGCAGAGAGAAGTCAGCCAGGCTGCTGCAGAAACCGAAGCAGTGCAGTCACCGAGGCCCCAGCCCTGGCCGAGTGCCCGCAGTGCGAGGGGGGTCACTGGCTATGGCGACATTGCAAGACAATGGGAGCAGAGAGCAGGGAGCGGGCCATCCCACACACCCGCTCACACTTGTCAACCACTCTGGCCGGGGCTCGGAGCCGGGCACCGCGGACACATCCGTGAGGCCGAATCTGCCCCCGCGCCTACATGGGCAGCTCAGCGGGGGCTCTGGGCCGTGGCCGTGTGCTGCGGGCCAGTGAGAGCGGCCTTAGGTCACTGTGAATGTCAGATGTCGTAGTAAAAACAGAAGCCGCACACACAGGGAGCTATGACTGCAGTCTGTCCCGGCCATCGATGTGGAGGTGAGGAAACTGCTGCTCCCACCTGTGACCCCAGGCAGGAGGGGGGGTGGTTTCCTAGCCCGAGACCTGCCCCTGGAAGTGTGCAGATGCCCAGAGAGTGTCCTCCGAAACCCCCACTGAAGTGCCACGGCCAGCCATGTGTTTACCAGCCCTGGACAGGGACCTTACATCAACCGGCTTCCCCCCTGAACTGGCCAGGGCTGGGGGCACCGTGTCCTAGCCTGGTCCCAGTTCTGGAGCCCCGCCGGAGGCCTGCAGGGAAGGGTGAAGTCCTCGGGGCCTTTCTCTGATCAGCCTTGGAAGGAACTGGCCTGGTGGAGTTGTTTTTCTGTTCAGGCACGCCTGGTGCTGAAGGGCGTGGGCCGGAGCCCAGAGGCCAAGCCGCCCAGCCCGCTCACCCTGCGGCCCCACCCCCTCCACTTCCCTCAGTGCTCTGTCCCCGGCACCCTGCTGTTCCACTGCCAACATGGGTGCTTCACCCCACGTTGTTCCTGGCCTTGGAGTGGCCTTTCCCGCCCTGTCCCCAGGCGGGCTAACCCGCAGCAAGCGGTCCTCTTTCCAAGAGCCTGGCCTCCGCTCTGTGTGACCAGCAGAGTCTCTTGTGCCCCGGACCCCCTTCCCCACAGCCCAGTGCAGGAACCCTCGGGCAGGCCCTCTGTGGACCCTGGCACCTCGTGGGCGTGATGCGTGTTGAGAGGGTTAGTGTTGCTGGGCCCCGGTAAGTGCCTCTGGCACTTCCCAGGTTCAATAAAAAGGCCCTTCAGCACACTTGGCCCTCCTGCCCAGACCTCCCCACTCACTGTCCCATCAGCAGAGACGCCCAGCACCTCTAGGTGAAGATGCTTCACTGCTGTCCTCCCCATCCTGCACCATTCACCCTTTTTGCAAACGGTCTGTCCACCCCATAGCCCCCCACTTCCTCCTGCCTCCCCCTGGCCCCCACTCCATACAGCTTGGTTATGCTGGTCTCCTGGTACCCAGGGAAGCTCAGGGTGCTGAGCTGGTCTCACTCCAGTAGGAGCTGTTTAATTCAGGGCCTTGGGGAGTGTCCCATCAGTCCCCGTTAGGACTTGGGGACACAGCGTTGTCTGGGAACATGGCACTCCCCTGGATATCTTTGGCCAGATTAATCAGACCAGGTGCCTGAATGGGGTAACCAGCCCACAGTCCAGGCAGACACGTGTCTAGTGAGGGCGGTGCAGCGAGAGGGTGCTGCTGTCTGGCTGCTCCCCGCTCCACCCCTAAGCTGTCCTGGGGGCAACTCGGGCTCCCGAGGATGTGAGGTCACACAGGCTGTGTGCACGGGCACACGCAGCCGTGACGGACGCCACGTGTGGCACCAGACTGTCTCCTCTGGGGGGCAGTTTGATGCTCGCTCTTTCAGGGGAGCAATGCTCTTTGTGGTGTATTCCAGGGAATTAAGTGAGCCTGTGAGTGTCACTCCAGGGTTATCAGTGCTTCACTGGCTCTGACGGCAAAGACGTGTCCTGGCCCCTGTCACTCGTGATTCCATGTTTTCTGAGTGAGGGTGATGGACAGGCGCCGTGAGCGGGCTCTCAGGCCCTCGAGTCCTCTACCCTTCCTTCTCTTATAGGAGCAGGTGGGGGCGGGGGGTGCTCTCAGTCTGGCCTGGCACGGCCGTAGGGTTTAGAGTTGGGATGTTGCTGAGAACAGCGCAGGGTGGGGGGAAGGCCAGGGGATAGAGCCAGGTCTCAAAAATGCAAATAAACTTTTCACATCATTTCTTTAGATGGTCAAGGACCCTGGCTTGACCCGGGGGGTGGGGGCTGGGCGGGAGTGTGTTCTGCTTTTCCCTTTGGTGACAGTCGCAGAGCCACCAGCCCTGAGTCTGGAGCACTGACTTAGCTGAGTCTGCTCTGAGACCTGCTCTGTGTCTTAAGGTCCTAAGTGTGTAGCAGAAACTCCTGAACCGGGCACAGTGTCTGAATCAAGGCTGAGGGACCACTGACTGTCTGCTGGTTCTGTGGAGCCTGTCACTGGAGGCTGTGCTGAGGCCACGCCGACCAGGCTGCAGGGCCGGTTTAGCCAGACTTGAGGGGCAGCCTGTCCTTGCAGGGAATGGGCTCGTTTCCCGCCGCCATCCCTCCTCCTCCTCGGCCGTGTCCTTTGTCCTCTCTCGCCGCCCAGGGCCTGCCTGCATCAGAGCCTGGCGGGAAACATTTGCTTCGTGAATCAGTGACTCAGTGAATGCTCTCATCCTGTGTCGGTGTGCAGGAAGGGGTACCCCCTTCCAGGCCCGAGGGTGGGCTCTTGTCTAACACTCAGAAGTGAACTCTCTGAGGAGACATACACGCTGACCAAGCAAGAGACTTTATTGGGAAGGGGCGCCCTGGGGGAGAGCGGGAGTGAAGGGGGCCCAGGAGGACGGCTCTGCCGCGCGGCCCGCAGTCTTAGGGTTATGGCGATGAGGCCAGTTTCTGGGCTGTCTCTGGCCAGCTTGACTCGGGGTTCTTCCTGCCGGTGCATTCATTGCTCAGACAAGGTGGATGCCGGCCAGAAGGATTCTGGGAGGTGGGAGGACACGTGGCATCTCCTTTTGACCTCTCCCGAAGTCTTCCAGTTGGCGATAGCTTGTTAGTTCTGCGTTCCTTACCAGGACCTCCTGCCATAAAATAACTCAGGCAAACGTTTACTGTGGTACCTGGCCAGGGTAAGTGGTTTCAGTCAGTGTGCTTCCCCTAACATCAAGGGTGAAAGTTGGGGCCTTGGGGTTGAAAATACCATCTGTACTGATAAAATTTTGCCTAGAAACAATGGAACGTACATGAAAAACAAAAACAGAACCTGCAGCCACACCTGAACTGACCTGCCCCTCGGGCTGTGCTGGGGCTCTGGCAGAGCCACCACGAGCCTCATGTCTGCAGCTCCCGCCCCAGACACTAACAGGTCTCAGGGCACTGTCTTCCTGGCAGATTGGCGGCTGCCCCAATTCTCATGGTCCTCACGTTTGCCTGCCCAGTCGCTCCACACGAGGATGTAATTAAATGTTTTGAACAGTGCTTCGGGACATTTGATTATGCAGAAAGACTCCACAGCCCGTGTTGATGTGGTGTGCAGCTGGGCCGCCCGCGGTGTGTCTGTGCTCACGGTGCTGCGAATGTACCTGAGGGGGAGGGCGGCCTCCTGCCAGCTTCAGCCCCCCTTCTCTCCCCAGGAGCTGCCAGAGCGTGACCAGCCTGGTGGGCAATGCCGCGTCGCCCGTCAAGGACGGGACCTCCTCTCTTCCCAGGAGGCAGAGCTCGTTCGCCAGGCCGCCGCTCCGCGCCCTGTACGACCTGCTCGTGGCGCCCATGGAAGGGGTAAGTGCCTGGCCGGCCCCTTGGCGCCAGGACGCATCACTTCCTGCTCAGCACCCCATGCCCCTGGCCCCAGACACAGAACAGGCTCCTGAGACAGTGGGGGTTTTCCAGACACGGGGCTTCTCAGCCAGCCTCTAGACACTCATGTGGACGCTGTTCTAAGGGGGCCGCTGGGCCGCAAATGGGGTCCTGGGCTCCAAGGGGGCAGACACAGGTTCGGGCCCTGGCCAGTCTCCCAGCTGGTGGTCGGGTCGACCTTGGAGTCTCGGGTGCACATGAGATGCTGCTCCTTTCCAGCATGCTCCTCAGACCTGGGGAGGTCCGGGGGCCCAGGGCAGCATGCATCCCCCTATCTCCGCAGTCAGGGTGGGAGATGCGCCCATGTTAGCTCCCCTGCCCACTGCTCATCCGAGGGTCTCACCTGAGCAGCTTCAAGCCAGGGGCTACTTCCTGATGGGAACAGACCCCTCGGCCCTGCCCTGGGAGGACTCACTCCACTTCGGGGTCCAGCGGCAGACTCATCCTTGTACTTGTGAGTTCTTGAGAAGCTTGAGCGCGGCCTCTGACAGGGTTCTGTGGCTTTGGTCTTTGCCCGTCACTGTTCATCCAGACGCGGTTCTCTGACCGGGTGCGGGGCTGCTGAAGGGCTCAGGGATCTCGTGAATCTGAACGGCTGTGCATGAGCCCGCCAGATGTCGTTGCCCGCAACCGTGGGTTAGCTCTGGCTGCTGTGACAAAATGCCACCGACTGGGTGACCTGGATTTCTCACAGTTCTGGGGCTGGAAGTCCCAGGTCAGGGTGCTTGGCGTCGTCAGCTTCTTGGTGGAGGCCCGCCCGCTTCCTTGCGTGAGAACAGCCACTGCCACTTTCTCGTGTGTCCTCGCGTGGTGGAGAGAAAGAGTGAGCACACTCAGGTCTCCTGTCCCCTTCACAGGGGGCCCCCTGGAGCTCTTGCCTGCATCTAAACAGAGTTATCTCCCAGAGGTCCCACCTCCAAACACCATCACTGAGGGGGTAGGCATCAACGCATGAATCTGGGGAGAGACAAACACCCGGTTCGTAACAGGCCCCGGGGAAAGGCTAGGTGCCTGCACCAGTGGAGGCCGATTGAGGACATGCCGCCAAGCAGAGCCGTCTCCATGTCCCGGTGGCTGGCCCGGGGCCTGGCGTGTGCTGGCACTTAGTAAAGCTTATTGGCGGTACATGGTCCAGAGATGCATTTGGCTTTCGGGTCTAGTCTGGATGCAAAACAGAAGACCCAAGACCTAAGTCAGCAAGTGGGTTCTCTGTGACTGCTCTGGGATGGCAGCCACGAGCTTTCCTAGAGGTTCGGATGCAGAAGGATGCCCCCGGGCCTGTGGGGCAGCTCCGAGGCTGAGCCCCTGACCCTGGCCCCCAGCCAGGTGCTGGGCCTGGCTCATATCTGGGCAGATCTCAAGTGCAGGGACGTGTCTCAGGGGACCGGAACCTGAGCGCCAGTTGTTTCACTGGAGGATGTACCCCTTTGGGCCCCAGAAGGCAGGGCTTGGAGGGGCTCTTCCTGGTATGGAAGGCAGAAGTCCTGGGGGGGGGGGCGGCCCCTCCCTTCATCCATCACAGCATCTCCACTCTCTGGAGGGGCTGCTTCAACCGAGTTGTCCCTTATGGGTCCCCTTCTGAATCCGCCTGGTGACTTTTAGACAATTTCTCTCTCTGAGAACTTTGCCCTGTGACTTAAAGAATAAAAAAGCTGCCAGTGGGATTAGTGGTTGCTCGTGGCTGGACCTCTGTGCTCCTCCAGGGTGCCAGAAAGGGAAGATTTATGGACTCGAGCCCCAAACGCATTGGAACAGTGACTTTGTATGACAGTCTTTGTACAGTCTTTGTAGGACTGATAGGAAGGAAACTCCGGTCCCCGATGTGTGTGTGCCCAGGAGCTGTGCGTGAGACTAGGTGTGACCCTCAGCAGTGTGGTCGCGTCTTGAAGGAGGCATTTAGGGTGAAAACGTTCAGTTCCTGATGTTAAAAGTGTTCTCGTTTGTGACTGAGGAGTTTGAACGCAGTGAAGGAGTCAGTCAGCCTCCAAAGAGACGTGGAGTGAAACCTCTTAGAGGCTGTTAGAGGGAACAGTATGGGGAAGCATCTCTCGGGACCCACTGTGGTCCAGTGAACACACTTCCCTCAGAAGCTGGTCTCGTCCCACGAGTGTTTACTGACACGTGCTGGGCACTGCCGGGCGCACTGCATCTTGGACACGAGGAGACACGGGGCAGGCGGCGGCCCTGTGCTCCCAGACCATCCTCTCCATCAGTGGGCTGGCCGTTCCCACTCTGCTCCAAGGCCACTAGAGGGCGACACCGTCCGCTGCTCCCGCGCTGTCAGCTGCCAGATGGAGCCAGGCCTTCTCCATGTTTTCAATGAAAATACACATCAAAACCCAAAGTCCAAGATTATGAATCACTGACTTTCAAGACTAAAGCTATTAGCCTCTTCACATGCGGCTTATAATTATTTGAACAACTGCCTTGTTTAGCCGCAGTCCTTTGCTAGGGGCCTAGGTCAGATGGTATGAAAAGTGGAACAGAATGACGTCTTCCCGCTGGCTTGCACCAGGACTTGATTGAATGTAGCTGAAGGGAAACACCGCCGTGGCTCTTTCCTGGAAGCCCGCCGTCCTTTGCTGTCAGGACAGGGCGAGCATGTCCAGTTATTGTTGAGGAGTCCCCGTTCCATCTGCTCACAAGTCATCAGCAAACATTAAGTCAAATCCTGTCTCAGACGCAAAGGAGAAGTGCGCCTGGTTAGTGTGAGAGGGACCAGACCTGGTGCGCATCCATGGCATTCACCCTGGAGTGGAGGGGAGTGCCTCACGGCCGAGCCTGGACTTGCCTCAGGAGCCCCTCGCAGCCACAGGCCTGCTGCGCATGAAGCCACTCATGCATGCAGGTCCCAGGCCGCCCTCTCTGTGAGCAGACAGGGCCTCGAGGCCTGGACGTCCCGGGCCAGGAGCTGCTAGCATCCAGGACCAGAATCAGAGGCAAACATTCCCTAGGATTTGTCAAGTCACTCTTTGTATGTGATTTAGGAAGTCTCTGGGCTTGTTCTAGTTATGGTCTTTGTCCTTCTTATATTTATTTGCATGTATTTAAATCCCCTGTTCCCTGGGTTTATGGTCGTCAAACCCAAGACAGTTGGACAGGGGGTTGGAGCGAATGCTTCTGGGCAGGAGGAGAGGTCATCCCCATCCACCTCTGCTGTTGACCAGAGACCACTCTTAGGCTAAGGAGTCATCGGGCTCAGGACTGCAGAAACCGACTTCCAGCTTGCCGGTCACGTCGGTTAGGTCAGTGCCTGGCCTCCCCAGGCACCAGAGCTGGGGGCGGCCCAGGGCCTCCCCTCTGAGAGCTGGAGGAGGGGTCTGGCTCTGCCAGGGGCTTGGTGAGGAGAGGAGCATGGCTTTGGCTGAGTCGTGGCAACAAAGACGAATCGAGTGGTGTGGTAACCCGACTTCTCCTTCCTGGGAGACGACCGCCTGGTCATGGCTGGTCTGTAAGAAGACGGGGGGCTCTGGAGGCGGTCAGGGGACGCTCGTCCACAGAACAGCCGGCCCTCGATGCCTGAGTGTGGACGGGGCACCAGGCCTGCAGGGTGGGTGCCGCCAGGCTGTCTGGTCTCTGCTGGGGACTCTGGAGTAACATTCCCATGAGGACAGACGTCACTTGAGGCCCGAGGCACCTCCACAGCTGACAAGGAGCAGGAAGAATGGAGGCACTGACCAGCCAGCTGTCTGGGCCACAGAAGCGGTGAGAACGCCAGCCCGCCCGCCGGGCAAGCGGCGTCCTCCCCTGGGTTAGGGCTCGTAGGCTGATTCAAGCTGATGTTCGACCACCCCGTCTCAGCCTGACCCCAGCAGGCTCTGGGGGAGCTGAGGCCTGACTGCACCGAGGCTGTGTGGGCTCGTGGTCACCACCCTGGCCTCAGAGAGGCCCCTGCGCGTGAGCAGCCCCTGGAGCTGACGTGGCTGAGACTGGACCCTGGGGGTCCGGGGGACCCCTCTGGCTCTGGTCGCCCACTGGTTTTGCATTTCCACAGCCAGATTCCTCCACTTCTCAGGCTCCCCAGGGAACCAGTGGTCTGTTGTTTGTGGTTCAGAGAGCACAGTGGAGTGGGCTGAATTTGGACTTTTGCACTTCTGGTTGGATACGGTCCTGGTAGCTTTCAGTCGTGGTTGCTGAGCACCCCCTGCATCCTCAGCCCAGCGTTCACCCCCGGTGCGCAGCAGCTCGGGTGGCAGAGGGACGAGGGCAGGGCGCTGGCTGTGACCCTCCCCGAGCCAGCGCCCCAGGGCCCAGGGCCACCCGGCACCTGGTGCCCGCGGGCTGTGGGCCCCGCACCTTCCCCCGCAGGCTCCTGTGCCCACCTCGTCTTTATGCACACCCGCCCTGTGTCCAGTCCAGGCTTCACAGCCGTCGCCTGCTTTTCTTTATCCAGAGTCATCGAGTCTTAGTCTCCAGCAGCAGCTCTGTTGGAGAGTGAGGTGTCTTGACTGGTCTGTGTGCGCCCACTCCTCGGGTCCCGCCCAGTCTTCCAGGAGTGATTCGGGGGCTCTATCAGCATCAGAGTCCCCGCCAGTCTCAGGGGACTGGGTGGGGACAGCCCTGCGGGGCCAGGGAGGGACACGGAGGCCCTGCAGTCGGAACCTCCTCCTCCAGGGATGTCGTCCTGGTCTCAGAGCCTCTGTCCACACACTGGGTCTCGCTTCTCATCCGCGGACAGCGGTCCCACCCCGGCCGAGCCCTCAGTGCCGTGAGACAGGTCCCTCCACGCTGCTCCGGGTGACCGTGACTGCAGAGCGCTTTCGGGGCAGCTGCCCTTGGCAGACACCCAGATGACCTGCTGGGCTGTATCTCTGGGGACACCCCCTCCGTGACGGGTGACCCAGTCTCCTGCTGGCCGTGCTCCTCCACCCTGCCCCTCGGGGCGGGGCCAGGGAGGTGGGCCGGCATACACCGGCGTCAGCGTGCGCTCCCCGCAGGGCCTGATGCACGCCAGCGGCCCAGGGGGCCGGCACCGGCAGCTGGTCCTGGTCCTGGAGGGGGACCTGCACCTCGTCCCGTTCGCCCTGCTGAAGGGGAGCTCCTCCAACGAGTACCTGTACGAGCGCTTCGCCCTCATCGCTGTCCCCTCCATCCGCTCCCTCGGCCCGCAGGCCAAGGTAAGTCAGGCTGCCCAGCGAGCTGGGCCACGGCCGGAGGCCGCGGGGACCTCAGGGCAGGCCCGTCTAAAGGCGGGGGGCAGCCTCCTGGGCCGGGCAGCCCTCAGCTACCCAGGAGGCGCCGGGCGTGCTTTCTGTCTCCACTGCTTTGCTCTGACACCAGAACAGGAGCTCAGTCACAGCACCGAGTTGGGCTGGAGGCGGGTCACGCATCTGTGGAGGTGGATTGCTCCCCCGAGGCCGCACCCGCTCGCAGGCTGACCGTGGAGTGGGCGCTGCATCTACCCGGTGGAGGGGCCGCAGGAGGGAGGGCAGACAGATGAGATGAGCGTCAAGTGGAGAAGAGCGCTGCGGGGCGACAGAACCAACACGATGAGTGGCCTTCAGGGGAGAGGGGACCCGTCTCGTTCAGTGAAAGTCAGCACAGGATGAACTCTGCGGACTCGAGGGGGCAACAGTGGGCCCCCGCGGGTCAGGGCTCACCCCACTGCCACCCCTGGCCCTGCTTGCCTGACTAGAGGGCCTTCGGAGCCAGCCCTGAACCCTCTTCCCTTCTCTCAGCTCGCCCAGGGACCCTGAGACCCGGGTTCCCTCCTGCCCCGGCACTCCGCCCCAGGCTTGGACACGGGCGCCTGCAGGGGACCCATCTCAGCCTTCGCTGACCTTAGCCATTGGCAGGGTTCCACCAGGCCAGTTTCTGCCCCATGGGCTTTGGATAGCTTAGTTTTGACTGTTTTTGTTGCTGGATCATCCTTCACATGGGACAGATTCAGTTCAAGGAGAAAGAAATTATTTTCTCCAAGTTTTCCTCATGCCCACGGTTGACTGAATCCTGTCGGTGAGCAAGCTGTGTGCATCCGGCCTGAGGGCCGACCCCTCCTGCTGCGGGGCACCCAGCTGGCAGAGGTGAGCCAGGGAGGAGTCCTGCCTCCCACAGGCTCCCCATAGGCCTTGCTCTCTCCCAGAGTTGAAGGCAGCACCAGGTGGAAGCACCAGAAAATTATTTTGAAATAGTTTGACACTTGATGTGTCCCCTCAAAACATCAGAAGGCATTGTGGGGTGAAATCAGAACTTTGTTGGGCTTCTTTATGCTGATTTTATAATTCAGGGAGGTTTCTCTTTTGAAGGGGCTGTAATCTTTTCAGTGGTAGTGCCTCTAAAGGACTTAATTTGGCCCTATTTCCCTTGAGAGTGACTTGCTTTCTGCAGGTTTAAACAAAGCCACCCCTGAAGCCCCTGTGGCATCGGTTCCCCCTTACTGAAGGGTTTGCAGGGGGACCTGTGGGAGGGAGGTGTGGGGCAGGCGACCTGGCATCGCCCCGCACACCCTGCCCCTGCTTCCCCCACCGCCCGCCCCCAGGGCCTGACAAACAGCATGGGGTTTTCCGACCACCTGTCTAGTCTGGTTGTTCTCAAGAGCTTGTCACAGCAGGTGTGATTCTCAGCCAGACGTGCCCTCTGTCAGGAAGGTATTGAAAAGTGGAGTGAATGAGGTTACCAGGAGGACAGGTGGGCCCCACCTGAGCGGGCGTCCGAGCGCCCGGGAAGCCCTGACGGGCGCGCCCGCCTTTCCTCCTCTCCTAGTCTCAGCTGAGGAAGAGCCCACCCGCCTACTCCAGCTCCACGTCCATGGCGGCGGTGGTCGGCAACCCCAAGCTGCCGTCAGCGGTGATGGACAGGTGGCTGTGGGGCCCGATGCCGGCGGCCGAGGAGGAGGTCTACATGGTGTCCGAGCTGCTGGGCTGCCAGCCGCTGGTGGGCAGCGTGGCCACCAAGGAGCGTGTCGTGAGCGCCCTGACGCAGGCCGAGTGCGTGCACTTCGCCACCCACATCTCTTGGAAACTGTCGGCCCTGGTCCTCACACCCAGCGTGGACGGCACCCCTGGGGGCGGCAAGAGCTCCTTCGGCCACCCCTACACCATTCCCGAGTCCCTGCGGGTGCAGGACGATGCCAGCGACGGCGAGAGCCTCTCGGACTGCCCGCCGCTGCAGGAGTTGCTGCTCACGGCCGCCGACGTCCTGGACCTGCGGCTGCCCGTCAAGCTGGTGGTGCTCGGCTCCTCCCAGGAGTCCAGTGGCAAGATCACAGCCGACGGGGTGGTGGCGCTGACGCGGGCCTTCCTGGCGGCTGGCGCGCAGTGTGTCCTCGTGTCTCTGTGGCCCGTGCCTGTGGCCGCTTCCAAGATGTTCCTGCACGCCCTGTACTCGTCCCTGCTGAACGGCCTGAAGGCCAGCGCGGCGCTGGGCGAGGCCATGAAGGTGGTGCAGAGCAGCAAGGCCTTCTCACACCCCTCCAACTGGGCAGGTAGGGGCTCGGGAGCTGTCAGAGGCTCGGGGGTGGTGGTGGGGCGCTCGGGCGCCTGTCAGAGGGCTGGGTGGTTCTGGGGAGGACAGTGCAGAGGCTCCAGGAGAGTCCCCTGGCTGACACTCTGGCCTGCTGCCAAGTCAGCCCTGACTCCTCTGGTAGGAAAGTGGTCTCTTGAGCAGGGAGCAGCAGGAGAGCTTGCTGTCCAAGTGTGAGTGTCGAGTGTGTGCTGGGGGCCCCATTTACAGCCTTCCTGTGACCCCTAGACGTAGGAAGGAGCAGTCAGCGCCATAGAAAGGCCTGAGGTTTGGTCGTCAGGGCACTTGGGTTCAGTCCAGCTCCGTGTTGGGCTGTGTGACCTGAGCGGTGTTGTAGCTGTGAAAATCGCTCTATTATGTCCGACTCTTTGCGACCCCGTGGGCGATACAGTCCATGGAATCCTCCAGGCCAGAACACTGGAATGGGTAGCCTTTCCTTTCTCCAGGGGATCTTCTCGACCCAGGGATTGAACTCAGGTCTCCCACATTGCAAGCAGATTCTTTACCAGCTGAGCCACAATCCTACCCATGCTGTAGTGATGCCTAAAACAGGAACACCAAAAATACTGTTCTCAAACATTTATACTTTATTGTTCTAATGGCAAAAAATTACACCATTCATTTCTGTTTAAAAATGGCCCCCACATGGTCCCACAGAAGGTGCTACAGGGCTTGTGGGGACGAGCCCTGCGCTTGGCCGTAGTCCTGACAGGACCCTCCCCACGTGTCAGGATGCCCGTGCAAGGGGCGGTTTGTCAGCTTAGTTTCAGCGACAGTAGAAAAGCCAACGTTGTTGTGGGGGAAATGGGGTTTAATGATGCTGCCCTGTTAGCCTTAAAAACAGCCTTGGTGCATTCATTCTCAGAAGGCCTTGTCCCCGTTACTCGGGGCAGGACCTAGCGCTCCCAGAGCTGCTCTGAGCTGCCTCGCCTAGGCGCAGGCCCTGCTCACAGAAGTGGGCGCTGGGGAAGCAGCCGTGGGGCAGGAGGGCGGACGTGTGGCTCCCCCAGCCCAGGCCCCGTTTGCTTGTCTAGGGGAGAACCGCCTCCTGTCCCCTCCTCTGGTGACCTGAGGAGTCCAGCACAGCATCCCTCCTTCCCAGCAGATGCCGGTGAATTTCAGGGAAAAAGGGCAGATGGTTCCTCGGGATGGGGGCTGAGCCAGCGGAGGGCCTCTTCCGGGCTTGCTCAGCACAGCAGGAGCGCAGAGGCACCTCCCTGAGCAGCCTGCCCAGCAGAGCACCTTCACCCGCGGAGTGATGAAACAGTGTCGCTTCTTAGGGTGGGGGCAGGGGTGTGTCAAGCTGCCCAGTGAGCAGCTGCCCCGGTCCAGCCCCTGCAGCAGCTATCCGGGCAGGCCCTGCTCGCTCTCTGTGAACGAGCTGGGCTGGGGACGGACAGCCCTGAGGTGCCTCTGTGTCCTCACAGGGTTCATGCTTATCGGCAGCGACGTGAAGCTCAACAGCCCCTCCTCGCTCATCGGTCAGGCCCTCACCGAGATCCTCCAGCACCCGGAGCGCGCGCGGGACGCCCTGCGAGTGCTGCTGCACCTGGTGAGGGGCGCGGGGCCCTCGGGGAAGCGGCTGCGGTGCTGGGGATGAGGATGAGGATGGGGGTGAGGATGCGATGAGGCTGGGGATCCCTCGGCAGCGGGGGCAGGGGGCGAGCAGATGGAGGGGGCTTTGTCACTCGGGCCGAGCGGGATTCTGGCTTAAAGCCTGACCACAGCCATTTCCAGCCATGTGGCTTTGGGCACGTGGCCTTGCTCTCTGAGCCTCAGCTGTGAGTGGAAGGGGATAAAAATGTACCTTTTCAAGGTTACCTTGAGGGCTAGAGAAAAGGTGAGAGGCTGGCACCCCACAGGGTCCCAGTAGCCGAGAGCTGGTTATAATCAGAGCACACTGGCCTCTCCCTAAAGTCAGCTGGGAGAGTTCCAGCCTGGCTCTGCTCTTGGCGAGGACACAGTCAGAGTCCCCATGCCCTTGGCTACAGAACTGAAAGGGGGTAAACCAAGCCAGTGACATGAAACTTGTTCCACCTCTTCATCTTGGTAACCTAGAGGCAGTTTCAAATAATTTAGAATGCTTAGCCTCCTTGGAATTCTGCCAGAAAGACCAGGCCCTGTCCACACACGGCGGCAGCCCACACTGCGTCCATTGCTGTTAGCTTAGTCACTGTCGTGTCCGGCTCTTTGCGGCCCGAGGGACTGCAGCCCCCCAGCTCCTCTGTTCACGGGGTTTCTCAGGCGTGGGTTGTCATTTCTTCCTCCAGGGGGTCGTCCCAAGCCAGGGGTGGCAGGCAGACTCTTTACCACTGAGCCCCCAGGGAAGTCCCCACCACATCCAAGCTCTTTACCAATCCAAGGCCCACAGTACCCCCATGGCCACCTGGCAGCTCAGAGGTGCTCAGGAGGGAAGAGCTGGCAAGGGCTTCTCCAGGGGTCCTGGGGTGGGCACAGCCTTGGCAGACTCCAGTGACGAGTCAGCCACAGACGCTTCTTACTCAGGTCTGTCTGAAGGTTTTCTCAGGCTTTAAAGAAGTCAGTATATGTGAATAAAACTGCTGGAGGCTGACCTCCAACAGCTCTCAGGCCAGACACAAGGAAGCACCCCCACCCCACTGGGTAGACGCACTCACATGCTTTGAGAATTTGGGGGAGACCTTCTCAGCTGGTTTTAACCTGTGCCTGCAAGTGAACGTACCCTTAAGTTGCTCAGCACCCGGACTCTGGCAGGCGGTGCCCCCTTCCTACTGGAGGTGCTGGCGCTGCCTCCCGGGGCCGGAATCCAGCCTCAGGGCCCCTCAAGTGCATCCAGGGTTCTCGCCTCTTTCTCAGCTTCATCTTTAGGGATGAGTGTAGGACACCTACCTAGCAGACAGTGTCTCCAGGGCCCGCCCAGCCTGAGAGACAGCAGCTGGCTGCCCACCTGTCCTGCCCGGGAACTCACGTGTCCTCCTACCTGTGATGTCAGCCGCCAGCGTCCCGGGGTTTTTCATTTTTGGCTGCACCATGCGGCATGCGTCACTTCCCTGACAAGGGATTGAACCCGTGCCCCTGCAGTGGGAGCACAGAGCCCTAACTACAGGGAATCCCCTATAGTTTGGACTTCTGAAACACAACTGTCCAGGCTAAGTTCCTAAAAGTAGGCTTACCTGGCAAAGGCTTAACACTTGAGCACACCCAGGGTGCCCGCTAGATGTGATGCTGTCTATTTTTATCTTAGTTTTTGTCGTGCTGCACGGCTCCTGGGATCTTCGTGCCTTCACCAGGGGTTGACCCTGGGCCCAAGGCTGTGGAAGCACGGAGTCCTGACGACGGGACAAGCAGGCAATCCCCCAGCATCCGCGGCTTTTACTCTAGGGACATCCTGGACAGTGCTCTGTCCCCTCCAGTGGTGCAGGGCAGGGGATGTCTCAGGAGACAAGCAGCCGAGGCAAAGTGTGCGGCTGCTGCAGGCGCCGTGGAGGCTCCTGGAGAGCTGAGGGGCCAGTTGTTACCTGGCGGCCCTGGAATGTGTGGGGCAGGGTCCAGAGGTCAGTGCTGCAGGCAGAGGAGTTGGAGGCCTGGGAGACAGGCCCAGTGAGGGCACCGCCTCGTGTGTGTGCGGGATCCTGAGGGTTTGTCCTGGTGATGGGCAGTCAGCCCTGCAGGGTGTGGGGCAGGAGATGGGTTTTCCAGACAGATCTCCTGTGTGCGTGGAGGCACCCAGAGCCTGGAGCCATGTTAGGGAAGGCACAGGACCCTTCGGAGCCCCCAGCCCTCGCTGGCTCTGAGAGTGGCGGCCCCTCCCTTGCGAGGTGCTGGCTGCTGCCGTGTGTTTCCCCAAAGCCACCTGGAGAGAAACTGGGGTCCCCACCCCCGCCTAGAGCGGCGCCTCACCCCCCTCCCCTGCAGGTGGAGAAGTCCCTGCAGCGCATTCAGAACGGGCAGCGCAACGCCATGTACACGTCGCAGCAGAGCGTGGAGAACAAAGTGGGCGGCATCCCCGGCTGGCAGGCCCTCCTCACCGCCGTGGGCTTCCGGCTGGACCCCCCGGCCAGCGGTCTGCCAGCGGCCGTCTTCTTCCCGACCTCCGACCCGGGCGAGCGGCTGCAGCAGTGCAGCAGCAGCATCCAGTCCCTGCTGGGTGAGCCGCGGCCGGCAGCACGCGCGGGGTGGGGGCCGTGGTCCCCGCCAGACCCCTCTGTGCCCCCAGCTCTGCCCCTTGCTGACAGCAGCCGCTCTGTCTCGTCGGCAGCTTCGGGCCTGACAGAGCCCTGTCGCAGAACCCGGGATGACACGGTCACAGGGCTCCCCTTCGTGCACTGTTTGGTGGGGGGTGACGCTGCCTGAGTGACCAGGTGCAGCCTCCAGCTGCCCTTCTCAGAGACCATCCAGGTGGGACTTGGTCACACTGTCTGGCTGTGCTGAGCTTTTGAAGATGGGAGCAAAGCTGAGCATTCGGGGAGTGTTCCTCTGGGAAGGTGCAGATGGGGTGCAGCATGCCCCTCCGGATGACGCCCGCCTTCTCCTTGCCGTAGGTCTGCCCAACCCTGCCCTCCAAGCCCTCTGCAAACTCATCACGGCCTCAGAGACGGGCGAGCAGCTCATCAGCCGGGTGAGTCTAGCAGGAAGCGGAGCCCGGGAGCTGGGCTGCACTGGGGGGACAGAGCTCCGACCCTGACAGGAAGCTCAGCCCTCGGGATGAGAGGGAGAGGCGAGCGCCGGGGTAGATCGGCCGGCATGGAGGAGCTGGGCGCTGAGTGCCAGCAGCGCTAGGGCCTCAGAGGACGCCCAAGGGGCCCCAGTCCCCTGTGGTCTCAGGGCTCTTCCTGACCTCTGCATCCAGTGGCCTCTTGCACTGGGCACCCCTGACCACCAGCACCCCAAGCCAGCAGGCGATCCCGTACTTATTATCAGATCAGAGCGTGACCCCTGCCTGGAATAAAGCCACTGCTGAGGCAGTGGTGAACACAGAGTCACCTCTCGTGGGAGATACTGCTTAGCAGGTTTTTCATGAAGTGCTTTCTTTTAGGAGAAGGTAGATCTAATTTAGAGACCTGGAGGATTCTAGCCCTTGGCATCATGTAGGCCATCCTTGACTTGGCCACTGAGCTTCAGATCTTCCTCTTGGCCCGTGAGGGTCTGGAACAAGCCCCTGGTGACAGCATGGTGACCCCTGAAGAGGACAGAGCAGTTTTCTGAAGTGTAATAATTTGACAAAGTAATATACGTTATTAGGTATTTATCAGCAGATTTCATTTTAGTGGAACTGTTTATACGTGGAAATAAGCTGCTCCGTCAAGGGTTCAGCTCTGGTGCCTCTCCCCCTGCTGCCTGGGTGGTGGTTTCCACCCAGATTCGGAACATAGCTCACTGATCTTGAGTTTCTGCTCATTTTGTAATAAGCGTTAGGATCTGCTTGTTGGGGAGAATCAGGAAGACACTTCAGGGCTACAAGCCTGTGCTCTTCCAAGAGAAAAGGCGTGTGTGCAGGGTGAGGCTGAGCATCTGGAGCCAACTGCTTACTCTCTTGCTTTTGGTGGCTCCCCGAATGCTCTCTTTGCCCTGGGACGGCAGGCGCCTCTGAGCCGCTCGAACTGGAGACTCTGCTTTAGCGTGGCCACAAGGCCGCAGTGCCGTCCCCCCTCTGGGCGCAGAAGGGCAGGCGGCGACCCCCGGGGCGTGTGGCGGGTGTGGCTGCGCCTTCTCCTGTGTCCCTGCTGCCTCTCGCTCCTCTCCGCTCCAGCCGGCCCAGAGCCGGCCCGCGTGGCGCTTCCCACGGCAGTGATCAGCTTGTGGTGCGTAACAACCTGTGCTTGAGTCTAAACTCTTCTCTTTCTCTTTCTTTCTTTTTCTTATACTCTGCTGGCCGAAGGCTGTTAAAAATATGGTTGGAATGGTGAGTACCACTCTAAGTAGCACTGCGGTCAGGTGAGCCCCTCGACCCGCCCGCCCCGGCCCTGTGCTGCTGGCTCAGGCATCTGCCCCGACCCTTGGCTCTGGCTCCCTTTCCGGCTCCCGCTCTGCTCTGGATCTGACCTTTCAAGTTCCCTCAGAACTGCTGGCCTGCCCCGGGGGGAGTGCTCACACTCAGCAGGTGTCTGGGAGCCCCCCGCCCCTCCTCTCGCCCCAAGCCCCCCCCCCCCAGCCTGTGCTCTGAGCCAAGGCCCGAAGCAGAAACCCTGCCCGTGCCGGGCCTCACGCTCCCACAGAGAGGACAGAGGGCAGCAGGCACAGAGGCCCCGTGAAAAGAACTTCAGGTGCTGCGCACACAGGAGGTCGTTAGCCATGCCAGTGACAGGCGGCACGCGGGTAGCTTGGGCCGAGCCCCGGGGCCGGACGCGCAGGCTGACGCTCTCCCCGCTCAGCTCCACCAGGTGCTGGTGCAGCTGCAGGCCGGCGAGAAGGAGCAGGACTTCGCCGCGGCGCCCATCCAGGTGTCCATCAGCGTCCAGCTGTGGCGGCTCCCCGGCTGTCACGAGTTCCTGGCGGCTCTAGGTAGGCCCATGTCCGCGAAGGGGCTCCGCTCCTTCCACCTTTTTTTTTTAATCTGTTCTTCTCCTAGTTTCTGTTGGGTGAAGCTGGTAGACTCTTAGGAGTCTTAAGTGGTGTTTTTGTGTTTATTACTCAGTAGCTAATGTGAAGACTAGTGCCTCAGCACAGTTCCCAGGTGGCCTTCCGGCTGTATCCCATCCCCTACATGATGATTTCCTCCTCTCACTTGGAGTCATCGTGTTAAGATGAATCTGCTTGATTGCAGCATTGCTGGGAGTCAAGCCATGATTACAGCCGAAAGAAAACTCCAGATTTCAACACTGGGCTCTATCACTGGCTACTCAGGCTTGGCAGAGAAAGAAATACAATTGAAACTGCCTCTGACCACAGAAGGCCTGTTGCAAGATCCTCCTTCAGCATTGTGAGCCAGTCGAGGCGGCTCCCAGCAACACTGCTGTCTCCTCACCGCAGGTGCATCTGCTGCTAAATCATAGCGCTTTCATACCAGAGCAGGGCAGACAGACAGACACGTAGAAAGACACAGTCTAAGGTGAGCGGCTCAGAAGTGAGGCACCCCGGCACAGACCGAGGCGGCTCCCAGCAACACTGCTGTCTCCTCACCGCAGGTGCATCTGCTGCTAAATCACCCTGAGAGGCTCTGCCATCCTGTCGCAGGCATGGGGGAGGCAGCAGTGAACACAGGACGAAAGGCCCTGCTCTTATTAGCGCTTTCATACCAGAGCAGGGCAGACAGACAGACACGTAGAAAGACACAGTCTAAGGTGAGCGGCTCAGAAGTGAGGCACCCCGGCACAGACAGAGGCAGCAGGGTCACAGAAAGGGGCAGGAGCGTGGGCCCAGAGCCTTAGGCCGGGCAGGGGACATGGAGGCAGATCCCAGGGTTGAGACGCTGATGGGAGGTCCCTTGTTTTTAGTATGGGGGAGTGGGGATCTGATGCCTTGTGGGAATGTTCCTTCCGCTCGGGAAGCCTGGGCACCTTTTCTAGCCCATTTGAATGACTTTTCCCAGCCCGCCTCAACTTGGGGGCCTCCACCTGTCTTTGGAGGCAAAGAGGGAACCCACACAACCCCGCAGGGGCTCCAAATCCCCTGGCAGTAGGTACTCTGACATCTTTAATGATTTTTATTATATGCTTGTTTCTTGTGGACTTAAAACATAGCCTTCTTGGTATACATAGCACATTTATATCTAGTAAGCACAGTCATGAGCAAGTGCAGCAGCGGTGAGAAGGACCAGCTCCACACCAGGATGGGTCTCGCTTGTGTGAGGCCGCAGGTACGGCGAGGCTGGAGCTGAGGTCCTTCCGGGACAGGCTGTGCTGCTGCCGCTCCTCCCGCTGATCCTCAAGGGCGAGTCACGTGCACATACTTCTAATCTTTAAGTCCTTTGTTCTGAGCCTGGGGAGAAGTGCTCCCTCCAGCCCTCAGCAAGTCACAGCTGTGGCTTATTTAGAGAACTCAGTTCTGCTGGGACAACCAGTTCAAGTCCCTTTGATAGAAAATGAGTAACTAATAACGTTTTAGTTAGAATCCTCTAAGTGCTGAGTTCTCTGAGACCTTCCTGTTGTTTTCAGGGACTGTTTATTTTTGAGTTCAGAGGGGAAAATGTCCAATAGCAACCAGAATGCTAAGTACAAGGCACCTCTATTGAGTCCAGTTCCCAAAGGAATGATAATGTCAGACCCAACACAGTAATTACAAGAATAAAAAAGACAGGTTTCTTGTCTGGCGCTGGGGTCCCTGCTGTGGGAACACCGAGGTGAGGCGGAAAAGGGCCTGGGAGCCCCAGGCTGCCGCCAGCCCCAAGTGTCCACACTGTTCAAAGCAGAGCTCAGTGATCTGCTGGGAGGTTAAGTGAAGACGTTCTGAGCCGAGCCCCTTAGGCCCTAACTCCTTACGTGCTGGCACTGTCTGCGGATCCAGCGCTGGCCACGGCGTCTGTGTGGGGCCTCTTCCTCCTGTTCTCTTCCCCAGGAGATGCGCTGGCTGCCTCTGTCATGGCCCCAATGAGTCTTGAGTGCTTTGGCAACAGCTCGTTAGGCAGCCGCCCGGCCTTTGTTGTGCCCGCGCTGGGTCTTATTAGACTCGGGGCTGCTTCCTGTGGGCTCTGGCAGGGCGGAGCAAGTCCCTGCTGGGCGCTCCAGCCCAGAGCAGATTCTGCAGCATCAGAGAAGCTTGTCTCAGGGCCCTTGGGGCAGACCCTGCCCATGCGCAGAGACACTGTCCTTGCAAAGCTCCCACCTTCTCCTGCACCAGCTTTAAATATCCAGCAAACGGAGGAGCCAGTCTTCTTTAAGTGAACTGTTCTGCAAAAGAATGGAGACAAGTTTCAATGAGCCTTACTACTCCCACCCTCCTCTCTGGAGAGGGTGGGGCAGGGGAGCCCCCTGCGCCTGTGTGAGGGGGTTCTGCACAGGTTCCCCAGGATGGTGTGAGAAGCCCTGGAGTGCACATCCTTTTCAGGACCGGGAATCTTCCCCAAGGAAGCAGGTGTTTATGCTCTTTGTTTCTGTAGGTTTTGATCTCTGTGAGGTGGGGCAGGAGGAAGTAATCCTGAAAACCGGAAAACAAGCCAATCGACGGACCATGCACTTTGCGCTCCAGGCCCTGCTCGCGCTCTTTGGTAAGAGCTCCTCGCGGCACCGTGCCGAGTGGCTCCCAGGAGCTATGGGGCACGGCCCTGGGGATGGTTTGGGAAGGGGAAGAATTAAGTGAGCGAATATCTGCTGTATGTTAGGGAACGCTGAAGAAAACAAGCTCCCTGTTCTGCTGGACCTCACCTTATGACGTGCACACATGCAATGTATGTCAGACGAGGAAATCAAGGGACAAGCAAGTGCAGGTGGCATGGGGGAGGGGCGTCACCCAGAGCTGGGCCTGTGGGGCGGTTTTCAGACCCTGGGGCAAGCTTGCCCTCCTCAAGGGGCCGAGTGAGGCTGAATGCTGGCGCTGATGTTGTCAGGGCTTGATGGAAACAGCAAAGCCTGCTGACGAACATGCTCAGAGAGAGGGGTCAGAGGTGACGGCTGCCAGCATGGGCTGTCTTCCCTGAGATAGTGAAGGTGGCACAAGGCCTGGGTCTGAGTCCCCTCCTGGACACGTTCATAGGCAGCTGGTTAGATGAGTCCAGATTGGAGACTTAACATGCGCACAGGTCTCAGGCAAACAAGACTGTCCTGTGGGCCCTCCCCGGGTCAAGGTCACAGATGAGGCAGGGCCAGGGAAGGCTCAGTCCCAAAGAGCCGGGTGTGATCTGTGCAGAAGCAGGCAGTGAACGCCAGGTTTGGTGGTGGCCACTGGCGACCTTTACATGAGCTGGGGAGACAAAAGCTTGCTGGAGTGGGTTCTGAGCAGGTGGGGAGGAGGGTGCTGGGATGTGGAGCGATGCAGCTGCAGCTGGAAGGGATGGTGGGTGAGGGTTCAGGCAGGGGTGCCACAGCGGGTGGGGGGAGGGGGTGGCCACAGGGCCTCAGGAGACAGGGAGCAAGTGAGGGCAGGCCTGCGGCGCCGGAGGCCTCTCCTATTTCTGTCCCCAGTGTGAGACTTACCTTTCCCACAGGACTGTTTTCCAGGCTTGAGACAAATTCAGCTTGTGTTATAATTCTAGCTTCTATGCATATAAGGATGCTTGTGAAAGAAGTCAACAGCATAGAGAATGCTAACTGTGCTCCTCTGTCATAGATTCCACCGAGCTACCCAAGCGCCTCAGCCTGGACAGCTCGTCCTCCCTGGAGTCGCTGGCCTCAGCCCAGTCTGTCTCCAATGCTCTGCCCCTGGGCTACCAGCACCCTCCTTTCTCCCCGACTGGGGCGGAGAGCATAGCCTCAGACGCCATCTCCGTGTACAGCCTGAGCTCCATCGCCTCCTCCATGAGCTTCGTCTCCAAGCCTGACGGGGGGTCAGAAGGCGCAGTCCCTCGGGGACGGCAGGACTACGAGCGGTCCAAGAATGCCTACCCACCGCTTGCCACCCTGCCTCGGAGCCCACTGTCCCCGCCCACCCGCCCTGCAGGCGCCAAGGATGAGGAGGAGTATGAGGGGTTCTCTATCATCAGCACGGAGCCCTTGGCGGCCTCCCAGGAAGACCCACCGACAGGCTTCTCGCCCGACCACAAGCAGTCCCGCGTCGGGACAGCGGGCAGTGTCAAAGTCTCGGTGAGCTCCAAGGGGAGCATAAGCACTCCAAACTCTCCTGTTAAAATGACTCTGATTCCCAGCCCAAACTCACCCTTCCAGAAAGTGGGAAAACTAGCCAGTTCAGACACGGGAGAATCAGACCAGTCGAGCACAGAAACAGATAGTACCGTGAAGTCCCAAGAAGAAAGCAACCCGAAGCTTGACCCTCAAGAGCTGGCACAGAAGATTCTCGAGGAGACACAGAGCCACCTCCTGGCGGTGGAGCGTCTCCAGCGGGGCGGCGGTCAGGGCTCCAGTGCTGAGGATGGCGTCTCCGTGCCCAGCAGCGCCGCCGTCTTCCGAGCGTCAGAAACCAGCGCCTTCAGCAGGCCTGCCCTCTCCCACCAGAAGAGCCAGCCGTCGTCCTCGCCGGTCTCCATCAAACCAAAGCCCCCAGCCAGGAGCTCCTCCCTCCCCAAGGTGAGCTCGGGGTACAGCAGCCCCACCGCCTCCGAGGCGTCCGCCAAAGACAGCCCGAGCCAGCACAGTGGCCGGCCGTCGCCCGGCTCCGACTCGCAGACCTCCCTGAGCGACCAGCCTCTCTTCAAGCTGAAGTACCCCAGCTCCCCCTACAGCGCTCACATCTCCAAATCTCCAAGGAACATGTCCCCCAGCTCAGGCCACCAGTCTCCCGCGGGAAGCGCACCGTCCCCGGCTCTCTCCTACTCCTCTGCGGGCTCCGCGCGATCCAGCCCCGCCGACCACCCCGACCTCGACAAGCTGAAGATGGCGGCCATTGACGAGAAGGTGCAGGCGGTCCACAACCTGAAGATGTTCTGGCAGAGCACACCCCAGCACTCCACGGGACCGATGAAAATATTCCGGGGGGCCCCTGGGACCATGACTTCCAAGAGAGATGTCCTCAGCCTATTGAATTTGTCACCTCGGCACAGCAAGAAGGAGGAGGGCGCAGACAAGCTGGAACTCAAGGAGCTGTCTTTGCAGCGCCGCGGAGAGACACCCCCCAAAGCCCCGCCCAACGGACACTGGCGCACGCAGACCACCTCGCTGAGCACGCTGCCGCTGCCCGCGCGCCCACCCGCCCCGGCGCCCGCGCGCTCTTTGAGACTTCCTTCTGGAAACGGCTACAAGTTTCTGTCCCCAGGAAGATTTTTTCCTTCCTCTAAATGCTAAAGCATCTTTTATACCCACCGACAGCAACCCGGAGCGCAGCGGCCCAGCCGGCTCCCCGCATTCACTTGGCTGCCCCTGCGTGAGCATGCACTGCCGGCCCGCTGGTGGTCCCCGGGGACTCTGGGCAGATTCCCCAAAAGCCAGGAATTCTGTGGGGCTGGTACAGGATGCTCATGGAATTTTCTACACACATCACCAAATGTTTACCTGTAAGCTCCCTCTTCTCATCTTTGATGCGATTCTTCAACAGGACTTTTGTACAAAAATGGTCAAGGTTCTGGGGTGGGGGAGGAGAGGGAGTACATATTTTGCTAGGAGGTGTATATGCAGTACCTTTTATACACAGAATACAGAGCTTTTGTAAGGCTTTCAGGTGCTGGTTGGGGGTGGGATACATAAAATCTAAGTTGAATTCTACATGAAAGTGTTATTATAGTAGCCAAAAAACAGGATACTGGTTTTAAAAATGCCAATGATTTGTAATTAAATTGTAGCAATTCTGGTCTCACGGTACTGTAACATCATAGAACCGATGCAATAATTCACCTGGAAATAGTGCTTCCGTCCTCACCTCTGTTCTCCTGAGCTCTACCAATGTCCTTGGAGCCCCGCGGTCAACCAAACTTGAAGTTTCTTAAAAATTTACGTAACTCACATCCAGGCATTTTAGAACTATGCAATTGTGATTTAAAATGCAACTTTGTGCTTTTAAAACCTTACTGACCTTTTTTGTACGTGGATAAACAACTTGGTTTTGTTATCAATAGTACTTTGCATTTATAGCTATTATTTTTAAAAGCTCAAGAAGTTTTTTAAAATGTCAGATTTTGAACAGTCATCAATACGTAATTATCAAGTTTTGGGGGGGAGTTTGAAATTATTCAGTTTCCTTATAAGAGAAGAAAAAAACAGCAAAAAAAAAAAAAAATCCTATGGCTATCTAGATTTAACCAGAATCGAGCCTTCCAGCTCCTATTCCCTTTACTTCCTGCTTAGTTTTATCATCTTTTCCCAACTCCAGGCTGCTAACACACCTCTTCTACCTACGTCTGCTGCCAGGTTCCCGGCGCCTCCCACCCGTTAATCGCATGTGACCCCGTCTCGGTGTGACTGGGGCCCTGGCTCGCGGTCTGAGGACAGGCCCTTACTGTCCACGGCCGCAGAAGCAGGGGCTGTCTGCTGAGACGTCTGCATCTGAGTCACTGCTCAACAGGGAGGACACGGGACTCTTGCTACAGCCATGATAGCTCCCTGATACTGCTGCCAGCCAGAACAAGACAAAACAACAGTCTAGGTAGGGGTAACCATTAACTTACCTTATAAGGAAATGAAATGCTGAAAATCATGTTAGTGCTAAGTTTAGGCCACTTTTAGGTAATTCTCAAGTGGAAATCCTACTACCTCCTCACTGGGAAGGTCTATCCCACGAAGGCAGCAGCCTCTCGTCCCGGGACACCAGCCGCAGGGAGGCCCCGGGGGTGTTAACCTTGGGGAGGTCTCACTTTATTCACACACACTGACCACCTGCCTATTCCGCACTGTGCTCTGGAAAGAGAGAAAGATAATATACACTCAACCTGTCTTACTCTCTTGAGCTGTGTCACAGAAGCTTTCTGTGTTTAACCCAACAGCCATGTTGACAAAAGCAAGGAAGTCCCTCCCATCCTAACCCTGATCCCAACACTGGGAAGAGAAATACTTTTATCAAGAGGCAAGCAACTATGAGGCTGTCTTTATGTCTTTTGTAAATGGTAATAAAAGTACCAGTGTAGCAAATGAAAGCCAAGTTTATAGCACTGTGCATTTAGATAGCAAAATCAGGTCCTCAGTAACAGGAAACAAACCTCAAAAGTGAATTTCTGAATCCGCATGCATGTAGTTAGGCTCGTCCTTTCTCAGCACCTCTGAGCCTCTTTCCCAAGTGCCAAGGAGCCCTGGAGGAAAGGCCGGTCTGTGCTCTGGCCCCGGGTGCCCGCCTCCAGCACAGCCCCCTACCACCCAGACCGCTTCTCCTGGTTACCAAGCCAGCTAGGAGGGCTTGTGGACCCTAACTTAGACTAAAACCAAGTACATTTGCTGTTGTAGGTTTCATGTTCAAAAGCCAAATGGAATATATGATTTTTTTTTTTTGGTCCTGGATATCGGCTTCAATGAAGGAAAGCAAAGATGATAAAATCAAGACCAATTGCCACTTCTGTTTGCTGTCAGTCTTGGTGCTTTCTATTCAAGTTAAATGGATGTAAAATCAAAGTGAATTTTTTAGGCTTCCCTGAAAAAAGGATGCACTTAAAAATTATGTGATTGTATAATTTGCAGATTTCTTTGTACAGATCAGGGGTTGGCAAATGACCTCCAGGCTAAATCTGACCAGAGGCCTGGATTTTCACAGCCATGAGCTAGGAATGGAGTTTGCATTTTAAAATATTAATATAAATATCTACATAATATTGTGATTTTTACCTCTTGGTCCACAAAGCCTAAAATATCTCGCTTCTTATGAAAACATTTTGCTGACTCCTGGTCCAGATGGCAGAAAACGCAACTGGCGTAACGTTTTGTTTCTGCAGTCTAGGGAAAGCGGATGTCAGGCAGTGGACAGAACTGACGGGATGTGTGGGAACCTGAGCCCTGTGGAGGGAAGGGACCGGCCCCAGAGGAGTCCTTGGCTCCCCGCCCCATGTGGAAGGGGTCGCTGGGTCACTATGCAGACAGCACTGGAAGGACTTTTTTCAGCTCAGGAAACTGGGACCCCTGCCCCTATTCTGCTCCATCAGATGCAACTGCGCAAGCAATAAAACCTCCCTCTCCTGCAAACCCTGGTGTGACCACAAAGCAAGGCAGCAGATCTTACTTCTCACCAGTGGGCCACGCAGGGAACTCTTCACACTTCACTCACCTTAACAGAGTCCACTTACCAAGACACAGTGAGCCACTCAAGCTTGCATTCTGATGCGTTTGGTATCGGTATGCAGAGAAACGAGAACGTTCTCGCCTCCACCCACTCGCAACAGCCCCCTGGCCCACATGCCACCGAACACATGTCCGTATCTGCTTGGCTGTCCAGGGGAAGCCGGCAGGTGGTCACCGCCGCGGGTGCCCAACAGTGATGCCCTGTCCCGCACCCCCGCCACCACAAGGAGAACCTTCACTTCGCTGGTTTCAGTTCAGGCTGGGAAAAAAAAAACACCACACGATAATCGGGCTTGCTTTAGGCAGAATGTGAAAATTGTGTAATTTTCATCACATATTTTGTTCTTTTACCTAAAAGAACTTGTACATGTGCTTTGTGAACTGGGCCCCCGTTTGTGCCAGGTCCTTCAGGGATGCCGCGTGGAAGGACACACGTGGCCACGGCTCCCCTCTTCACACGCCTTCCCCACGTGGCACTCATGCCCCGTATGCAGTGTTAGCCATCCTTGGCCTATGTGGACTTTTCTTTTTTGTAAATGACAGTTTCCAGATGGCATTAAACTTTTTATATTATGAAATTTACCATGTAAAAAGAACTTCGTATTTTTACTGAGATTGCTAAGGCACTTGGCCTTCCTTTGTGACTTCCGTGACTATTAAAGCATGAGTCCCCTTGGTTTTAAGTGCCGTATCTGAATCACTTTCTTTGTTCCACACTTTCTAGGTTTCTCTGCGGTACACACAGTATCATGTCATTAATGAACACAGACTCCTGTCTGGAGTTTATCCTTATGAATGCACTTCTGCCTCATGTTTGCCAGGAGCAGAGCCAGAGAAAGTGCGCAGCAGAGCTGACCTTCTGTATCTGAACACACAGAGGCCTCCGGCTCCACCTTGGGAGTTTCTGGGGTTCACTTTTATTAATGACAGAGATGTCTCTTATTTGTTCTGTTCAAGACTGGAAGTTTGCACAGTAGACCACAATCTTTTTTCACCCGATAAAGTAAAATATAAACTTATTCTTAGTTCTGCTTACATGCCACTTTCAGGAAATACATAAATAGCTTAAAATTGATTTAAAATTTCATGAAAATTAGTAGATGCAGTGAAAGTGGCATTTTTAGAGAAAAATTACAGACCTAAATATTTATTTTCAAGGTTAATTTTAAACATGTAACTGTTTAAAGCCCAGCCAGTGAGGCAGGATGCTCTGAACAGCCAGTGTTCTGTTGGGAAGGAGGCGCCGCTGAGCGCGTGACTGACATCAGCACAGTGACAACAAGCCCAGAGAGAAAAGGGAGGGGACAACACAGAAACTCATAACAGACAGCACAGAAGACCACACGGTAAACTCTGCCAAAAGTGAAAAATATACCCATTTCTGTGAAGGTTGGTCATGTGTGTGAGACAGAAAAGGAAAAGTGGGTACAGCTAAAGTTGCAGCAGAAATTAATCAGAAAATACTATGAATACTTTTATGCCAAAATATGTGAAAATGCAAGATAACACCTGGTATGTTTTAGGCATTCCTATTTACATAGTTGAGGGACCCCTAAATGCAAATGGTGGGCCTCAGATGCAGGAGTGGTAAGCACGTGACTTCAAAGAGCTGCAATGTACAACTCCTTGTTCACACACATGAACTGTTTCATAAGGAATTTAAGAATGAGTGAAAAGTGTTATTGGCAACTACACAACAAAAATTAGATTATACAAACTTTTAGAAAAAAATACTAAAATCTCTGGTGCACAAAGGGAAAGAAAACAAAACCAGAGCCCATAAAATTAAAATGGTATCCATAACTCCTTGCCCTTTATCCAACTCTCCAAAGAATACAGACCCAGAAGGTTGTGCATATATTTCACTAAACTTCCAGGGACTGGTGGTACTCTGTATTTTCAAATGGTTTAAGAAAACATAAAAATAAGAAAAGATATTAAAATCACTCCACGATGGTATTCTTAATTCTAAGATCAATAGTATAAGAAAAAGTATAAGCCCATTTCATATATGAATCTGGACATAAAAATCTGAAATAAAACAATGACCATTAAATTTCTATGCCTTTAAAACTAGGAAGAAAGTGAAAATTGCTCGGTCGTGTCTGACTCTTTGCAACCACATGAACTGTATAGCCTTCCAGGCTCCTCTGTCCATGGGATTTTCCAGGTAAAGAATACTGGAGTGGGTTGCCATTTCCTTCTCCATTAAAAGCAGGAAAACGTAGATTTAAAGTGCATCACTGATCTTGCCTCTGCTCATGAACACTCGCGTGGTATTCCCAAGGGCCAGAGCTCTGCCCCTAAGCGGTATCTGTAAAGACACCCACATACAGAAAAGCGGTCAGCACTAAACCTCGGAGCACGTCACCACTCTGAGAACTGGGGTGCCGCGAAGTCCAAGGTTTACCCTGTGATCACACACGAAAGCAGACCTGTGACTCCCTACTTTAGGAGTACTGAGACAGGTCTGTCAGTGTGAGGGAAACCCCACGCAGCCCAGCTGTTTTTTAGGAAACGGTTACTGCTGAAGCAGAGAGGGACTTTAACAATCTGCAGAGCAGACAGAAGGCTGCGAGGTTGGCACAGCACCATGAAGGGTCTTTGAGCACAGCTGTGTGGTCCCTGTTACCTTAGAAAACACGATTTATGTAATTTGTCAGAGTTGGAGAATTTGCGTGTCCGAAGTTTGTTGGACGCTTCCCAGAAGGAGAGACCGGCCCCTGGTGAGGATCTGGTATTCGTGTGCGGGGGACCTTGTAGTTAGCAGCAGGACTGCTCTTAGCTCCTTAGGCTGTGCTGCGCCGCGTGTGGGGTCTAGTTCCCCGGCCAGGGGCCGAACCCGGGCCCCCCACAGTAGGAACAGGGAGCTTTAACCACTGGCCCACCAGGGAAGTCCAACGGGGCTGCTTTGTAATTTTAGTACTCTAACACTTTATTATAGTCACTTTTTTTTTTAAGGATTTTGAAAATATTTCGTCTGGCTCCTGGCTGCACCAGGTGCCTCCCCTGCATCGTGCGGGGTCTGTCCTTGAGGCGCAGGGAGCCTGGAGCTGTGTGTGTCTCTCTCTCTCTCTCTCCTTCCCTCCTTCTCCCCTTCTTTCTCAGTCTTTCCCTGTCCCTCTCCTTCCTGCCCTCCTGTCCCTGCAAGGCAGGTTCTTAACCTCGGGACCACCAGGGAAGTCCCTGTTTTGTTGTTTTTAACCTGAGGAATTCTGGACAAGGGCCACAGCTTGGTGGTACCTTTTCCAGTTTAAATCCTTTCTTCAGCTCTCCCAATGAGCGTGCAAGCTTACAGACTCTAACAATACTAAATAATGGCAAACAGCAGGGAACTTGACAGACTAATGCTGCATCCACTCCAGCAAATGAGGTCGAAACATCTGGATCCAAATACATTAAAGGGACGTGTTGGCATTAAGGAAACATTCTGCCTCCCAAATGAATTTGCATCCAATCTCAAGATATTTATTAGATTTGCAGCAATTGTGCATGTGGGCTTCAGGGAATGATACGTTCTTAAATATATAAATATCCTCAATATATGTATATTAAATAAGTTCTAAAATTTTAAAATAATTTTGAATCCCAGTAGCAGAGCTCAAAGTCTGCCTTTCTAGCTGGGACAGGTAAATGGGTTTGAATTCTGATCTGCCAGGCAGCATTCTGTCAAGTCTGAATATTTTTTTTTTCATAAGTAGAAGTTATACAAGTTTTTTCCTGAAGTGTAGCCATTTTCTTTTTGAACCCAAAATGCAAATATAAAATTGCTATGTAATTCATAAAAAATAGATAGTTCTTATCTAATATTTCAGAAGTCACTGACTCTACAAATACTTGCTGAGGGTTTGTTGTAATAAATAGAATGTAGCCTGCCCCATCCCCAAGAAAGCAGGAAAGTTAAAACAGATATAAAAGTCTATAAAATAAGTTGTATCCTTAACTTACACGCTGCTCTCTCCTTTGTTGTGAATGGTCCAAACAGCTTGATGAATGGAAGTGCCTATCATGGCTCCCCCGCTGTGCCCTGCTCCACGGCTGGGCTGAGCCGGCGCAGGGGCTCCAGGAAGGCTGCAGGTGACGAGGCCTCAACAGGGCCTTCGCTGTGGATGCGGAACATGGTGAAAAAGAAGCAAGCTGGAAGAAGAGCCAGCAAACTGAAGATGGAAACAAAAGCTAAGGAGTAAGATATACACGTGAAATGGACGACACCCAAGTCTAAGGCCATCCAGAGGGGCCTCTGTGATCTTGGGTGTAAATAAACAATGGAATCGATCGAAGAGAAGCCCCGAGTCCGTTCCTACAGCTTAGGCTCAGCCCACCCTCATGTCACCGTGGGGGACCACCTGGGACCACTCCATGGCCCCCACCTCCACGGCCAGGCCGGCTCTCGCTTGCTGGCTGAAGGACCCGCACCGTCGGAGCGTTCCTCTCAGGGGAGGCCTTCCCTCACACGCTGGCGCGCTGTACTCGCTCCAGCAGCCCCACATCCCGGTCCTGCGAACCCGCAACCCACCGTTTTTCAGCTTCTTTCAGAACAAAGCTCTGTACTCAGTGCAGCACTTCCACTTGCCCACTTCTCTCCTGAACCACCCTTCAAATCAAGCTTTTGCCAAGACAAGATCAGGCGCTACATCCGCACTGTAAAATCCAGTGGTCAGTTCTCCGTTCTTTGTGATGCAGCACAGAGCACCCGGCATCACCTATGAGATGGACGTGAAATAAAACTGTAATCTGCATTTAATCAGGCTTTTAAACACAGGCATGGAACTTTCAATTTACTGTAAATACAGACTGAGGAGACAGGTGAATCCCAAGGTGGGGTCACCCCTCACCCCACGCAGTGCTTTTTGACACGATGACGACGGCCTGTGCTGTCCAACCCAGCAGCCACAACACGGTCAGAGTGAGCGAGGATGTGAAATTTACCTTATCTGTACATGCAGTGGTCTGTTCTCTTGAACACTCCAATATTACAGAGAAATAAGAAGCTAGGAACTCCTCAATAGAGATTTTTAAGTAACTGACACCACAACCAAATGTAAATACAACTGTAGTTTTATATACTAGCAACAAACACTGGAAAACAAAATTAAAACCCATTCGGTTTACTATTATGTCAATAAATATAAACTGATTAAAACACATTGATCTCTATAGTCAAAATGGGTAAAGTTCATAATATGTAGATTATACCTCAATAAAGTTGATGAAAAAATACCTAGGGATAAATTTAACGAAAGGCAAGTAAGATTTCTACATTGAAAAAGACAAACCACTACTGAGAAAAATTAAAGACATAAATAGAGAAAGATACTACATTGACAGGTGAAACACTGAATATTGTTAAGATGTTAATTCTCCCCAGACTCATCTACAGAACCACAGCTGTAACGAAAATGTTGACATAAACAGGAAAAAGTCTTAGCCTTTTTATTAGAAACCGCCAAGTTATATTTAAAGTTTATTTGGAAATGCAAAGAATCTAGAAGAGTCAAAACAAACTTGAAAAAAGTTGCCTTCAAAATTTACTTTAAAGCTATAGTAAGTAAGACTATATACTTTTGGAATATAAACAAGCAATGGACAGAAGAGAGTCAGAAAAATACAAAGAGAAGAGAGCCTAGACATAGACGGTCAGTGGATTTTCAACCAAGGGCACCAACGAAACTCGACAGGGGGA